TGAGGCTGCAGTGACCATGAGTGTGCCACTGCACTCCAGCCTGGGCGACAGAGTGAGACTACAACTCAAAAAAAAAAGAAAGAAAAATGTGATCCCTGTTTTCATGGAGTCTATATTATTGTACCTCATGGCCTTGTACACTTAAATACTAGTTTTATCAACAAGGTATGGTGGTGCATGCCTGTTGTCCAGCTACTTGGGAGGCTGAAGCAAGAGGAATACTTAATTAAGCTCAGGAGGTTGGGTTCAGTCTGGACAACATAATGAGACCCTGTCTCTAAAACCAAACTAGTTTTCTCATATATTCTGTTGTTGAAAAAATAGTATAAGTGCAACGAAAAGACAAATAGAGAGTAAATAATACAGTAGTAATTTTTATAGTAATAAAGTTTTTTTACTGATGAATGCCCATGACCCAAAACATGTTACATGCTTACATATATCAGATAAAGTAATAACTTCACAAGGTTTAAAGTATCCCATTTTAGGGTTAGGATACCCAAATTTAATGTATATTTAATGATTCCATTTTGTCTTTGTCCCCTCTAGAATTATATCCATGGAAGCAGCCAAGCCCAGTTTGTAGCTGAAACTCACATTGTTCTTCTGTTTAGTATCCTTTTTACAATCAGTCTTTGTTATTGTATTTTAATTTATTTTCTCACAGTCTAGCATTCTCTCTACAGCATTTGGTTGGAGCTGCTCTCTTAATGCAAGTCATAATATCCTTTGAAAATTAATACTATGTCATCCATCCCAGCCCAGTAAGCTAAATACCACCAGGGAGAGACCTGCAATTTATAAAACCAGGCTTATTGGCTTATTGATACAAGGAAGACTGCACATTAGAAGAACCATCAGACATCTTACCAAAGGAAAGACAGTTGTTAAAGGATTTGGGAGGATGGTTGGGTTTCTGTGAAATTTAAATGAAGCATCGTTTTGATAGGCTAAGTATAAGGGTGTCAACATTAGGTATGGTCTGTGACATGCACCCAGGGTTCTGTTTCCTTGGAAATTACAAAGTAAAGATAAATGTGTTATGCACCTAACCTGGAATTGTACCCCACATCTTTAAAATGTAAAAAAAAAAAAAAAGATAAATGTGGGATTTTTTACTGTAAAAACTCTTTATTTGAAGCTCTGTACCTTGGTTGTAACTTGAGACTACTTAGAAATTGTACTTAAAAATTGAATGACTTAGATCTCCAAGCAAGAATGGAATGCTAGCCGGGCTCAGTGGCTCAGCCTGTAATCCCGCGCCTTTGGGAGGCTGAGGTGAGTGGATTGCCTGAGCCTGC